CTGTTCATGCCTGTATGAGAAAAGTGTATAAAGTGTGTAGTGAGGGGTTTTACAGCCTTAAAATATCTATAATAATTGTAAAAAATAAAGCTGGCTACTTCGCGGATTTCATCTATTGCGGGTTATTTTTAGAACATAACACCCGCGATAAACAAGGGACCGCTGTATACAAATACTGAGAAATATAGAACTTGAATCCTTTCTCTCTCTGTTGCTCTGAGGCACGGGGGAACAATATTGACAAGTGGATAAAAATCATCTACAGATATATTCCGTAAATGCCCAAGACATCTGGAGAAATGTAAATTAATTCAGCTTAATTCATCCATTTGGTTGACTTGTTTTGGAAAAAACGGCCGTAAACAAGGAGCGAGTATCACACCGGAAACGAAGCGCCCTACAGGAGTTTCCCCACCGGAAGTAGCATATGCTAAGGTGCACAGAGTCTATTTGCTTAAGGGTAGGGAGTGACGGCTCAAACTGATTAACAGTTGATAAACATCCTGGGATGGAAACAGGGCTCACCACTGAAGAGTGTGGAGACTTAAGAGATGAAATTTTATCTGTGAAATTATTTAAGAATTGTGCGCAGAGAGCCGGGGAGGACACCTCGGTATTTCAGGATAGGGACTGACCACTGAGTTAAAGATTTTAAATAGCGTTCGAGGGTTATGTCCATTAGTCACAATAATGTCTGACAAGAAAGCTGCTTTAGCCATTTTAGCAGCATATTGAAATTTCAGACGGCTCGTTTGTAGAATGTCAAAAGATACCGGGAGCTTTTCTTATTTCCACCTCCTCTCAGCTCGGCAACACGCACGTGTAGAGTCGTTTAACCAAAGTTGAGAATGAGTTCTAGGACATTTAACTTTAATAGGTGCCACAGCGTCAAGGATAGAGGAGCATGTGGATAACAAAGAATTTGCAAAGACGTCAGCCATAGGAGGTATGGAACAGTCAGTAACAGAGGGTGCAGAATTAAGGAAGGCCACAGAAAAATTTGCCACAGTTTTAGGATTAATTGAAATAAAGCAGAATAGCTCAACACATAAAACACAATATGAAAAAAAAGGAAAGGTAAAGTGAAACCCCAAACATCAACAAATGTATCCTTTACTAGAGCCAGCATAGGATTTTTAACACCAATACTGATATTTGGTGATTTTAAAATATAGGCCAATATATATATATAATATATATAATATATATATTCCCTAATATTTGTCACATGTAATTTTTAATTATTTTGTTTATTATTTACTAAGATAATACGACTATATATGATGCATAAGATAGTTACAGGGTTTTTACCCATCGCTTCTTGATTTTTTTTAAATTTTTATTTATCAGCCGTTGTAAATGCTGATACTATCTGACATATCAGCTGACATATCAGCAAATAGCTAATATCGTCCGATGTATAAGTTGGGCTCTAATGTACACATCTTTCTTTTTTTTCTCTGTGTCTAACAGAAACCAACATTAGCCTAACTTAGAAACAGATTTACTAACAAGTTGTGCCAACCCAACCAGGGTTCTTTGTGTATTTAAAAAGAAACCACAGTGATGAGATTGAATGCAAAAAGCGGGAACTCAGAAATTTCATCGACTGACCCTGTTGAATGCATTTGTAGGGAGGAGAATATTTAAATCAGACATGGAGACAGATTTACTGATGTTTATAACACACAGTTTACTAATTGTTTTATTTTTTGCACTTGCTAATGAAATTAACTGACTGCGCCTGTGTTTAGAAAACAGCGTAACTTTTGGTAATCACCCATAAAACTAACCACACCTATCAGCATTATTTGAGTATTGTGCTCACATGATATTTTTCTCAGTTTACTATATATGCCTCATAATAT